GCAGGGGGGAGCAGGCGCAGCCACTCGCGGCGACAGGCCTCCGCGTCCACGACGGCCGCGGCGCCGGCCCACGCCGCGCCCGCCTGGCCCAGCGCCGCGACCAGGTTTGCGGCGCCCGGGCGCTGGCGCTCACCCCCCAAGCCCAGCAGGCGCAGCAGTCGCGGGCCAGCCGCCTCCCAGGCCGGCACGGTGAGGGCCAGGCGCACCAGGCGCAGCCTGGCCGCCATCGCCTGGCAGGAGGCGGGTCCAAAGGGGTCTTGCGGGGCCAACGTCATGAGCGGCAGCACGCACCTGGCGACCAGCTCCTGGTCAGTTCGTTGCAAGTAAGGGGAACGAGGGACAGAGAGGGTGAGGTGACACGGGGGGGATGCTCGCATATGGTGGTTGGCAGCAGGCAGGGCTCACCGACTGACAAAGGACTGCAAGCATTCGCATTCTCAACCGGATGCTCCCACCCAATCAAGAGCCCCAGAATCCCAAGCTCACCTCAGTCACTTCCGAGCTGGGCAGATGGGTGAGCAGGGCGGTGGCCAGGCGGATGGCGGCCAGGGCGCAGGCGCAGTCCCTGCCGGGGCCGGCTGGGCGGGCCAGGCGCGACCAGCACCTTTCGAGCTGCAGCGCGGGGTGGGAGAGGGGGGGAGCGGGGGTGGAGGGCGGGGCGATCAGGCTCCATTGAGAGGAGGGCAACGGAGGGAGGGCGGCGCTGGGACGGAATGCCATTTCTCTGGTGCCTCGCATGCGTCCAGCCTTGCTCGCCAATCTCATCGCAGCAACCCTGCCCAGCCCCCGCACGCTCACCAAGAGGTGGTCGGTCACGGCTCGCACGACGCGGTCGGGTGCCAGCTGCACCATGACGGCACACACATTGAGTGCATCAGCTGTGGCAGGCAGGGGTGACAGGAAGGCGGGGTGAGAATGATGTGCAAACTGCAGGTCTATCCGGTCGATGCCCAGGAAGGGGTTGGGGCAGGGCCAGCCTCAACACCGCAAACAACAAGAAAACAATCATAATCCCTTGGCGGCTCCCAACAAGTCCCCTGCCCTCCGCGCTTGTCCTCTCATTCGCAATGTACACCAGCCCCCCGGGCACCCACCCAGCATGGCGTCGTAGCCGTCCTCTGCCGTCGCAGCATCCTCGGCCAAGGCACCGAATCGCGCTCGCCCCGCGAGCGGCACCCCCGCCAGCACCCTGATGGCCAGGGTCAGCACGTCCGCGCCCCCCGCCGCCTGGCCGCCGGACGGCCAGCCGGCGCCTCGCGCCGCCTCGCCGGCCGCCGGCGCCGCTATGTGCAGCAGGTCCAGGGCCAGGCCGGCGTCGGCCGCCACGACACGCGCAACCAGCGCCAGCGCAGCCGCCAGCTCAGCGGCGGCGGCGGGGGCGGCGGGGGCGTCACGCAGCGCGTCCTGCGCCGCCAGGCCCCGCTCGATCAGAATCAGGAAGCCCGTGGCCTCGGGGCAGGCCAGGGTCCAGCCCACCAGGCCCAGGTCGGGATGGGCGCCGTGCCTTCCTGCCGCCGTGGCCCACGTCACGGGGAGCTCCAGGAACCCGGGCGGCGTGCCCAGCACCTGACCCGGCACGCCCTGCGGTTTGTGTTGGGGTGACGTTGGGAGTCTTGGAGGGCAGGCACGGCAAACGATTGCCCCACCCACCACAGGTTTGTGCCTCTGTGAGTCAGCACCCTGGGTCCCCTGATAGCATCACTCGTACACGCATCCCCTCTCATCCCGATCTCAAGTCCACACGCCCAGGCGCGCACCTCGGGAACGTGGATGCTTGGCGCGGCGTCCAGACGCAGATCCCTGCCGGCCACGACGCGGGTCCCTTCGCCAGGGTCCAAGGAGACGACGTCCCCGTCCAGCGCCTGCAGGGTGGCCAGGCCGGGCAGGCGGGCAAAGTAGGCTACGGCGGCGGCGGCGGAGGCGGGGGAGGAGGCCAGCGCGGCCAGCAGGCGGTACAGGGGCGAGGGGAAAGCGGGGAACAGGGCGCGCAGGCCGTCCAGGTAGGAGAGCAGCGGCGCGTCGCTGGACCGCGCCTGCTGCCACAGCCCTTCGCACAACGACGGCTGGTCTGCAAGGAAGAGGGGGGGGCGGGGGGAGGTAGACCTAAGGAAGGAGCATGGGGTGGATTTCTCAGCTAAAGTGTGGTCCCCAGCCTTTAGTTGTGGGCTCCGAGGAGTCATCGTCGGTGGATGCTGGCCCGCTCACGCGGCCGGCTTTGCCTGCTGGATGAGATTCAAGCGTCCAACCCAAACCCAGCACTCCAGGCCTCGCCTTGGAAGAGGTGGCACAGCGTGGCCACAATCTCGGACGTGGCCGTGAGAGGGGCGGCGAGAGGTGTCAGCGCAAACGCGCACAGCACGCACGACACCGCGCTGTGAGGTAAGGGGTGTGTTCCGGGGTCAAGTTTGAGGATAGACACAGTGTTTCGCCAAGCGGTCCTGCATGCCCGTGCCCTGCCCAAGCAGGCCTCGGCGTCCACACCAGGCCCTCTCGCAGTCAGCCAGCAGGCTTTTGCCAGCAGGCGTGCACATCTGTGGCGCAGGCCATGCCCTGCCTCATAATGACAACCCGGCCCTGCCCGCCCTCGCGGCTCCTCCAGCCGCTCTGATCTCGTGCACCATGCGAAACCATGCTTCCATTCCTCAACGTTCCACATCAACCGGCCCCCCCCTCACCCCCCAAACAAATAAGCAGACCAACCTGAGCTGGACGGAGTTGACCGCCTCGGTCATAGCGGCGGTCTGGCCCGGCAGGCCGGACAGGGCGCACAGCGTGCCCAGCGCGCCCAGCTGGCCCGCCAGCTCGGCGTGCGCCTGCGCCCGTGCGCCCTCCACCTCCGAACCCGCGCCTGCCTGGAGCAGCTGCAGCACCGCCGCCCAGACCAGGAGGAGGGGGGAGTGCAGGGCCTGGGCCCGCTCCCACCAGGAGGACACCAGGCCGTTGATCTTGGACAGCGTCTCCGACGCGGCAAAGGCGTAGGTGGCGGGGGCGGGGGCCTCCCCCGTGCCCACCAGGGACACCAGCCGCTCCGTGTCCAGCATCTCGGTCAGCAGGACGATGCCCTTGGAGAGAGTGGGACAAGGTTGGGATTTGGGGAATGACAAGGAGGGTGGGGGGGGGGCGCGGAGCGATGTGTCATGGGGCAAGTAGGCGGCAGGAGGGGACCGAACGCTGGCAATCCCTCGGAGATGGTCTCAGAGATGTGCTGTCATGCCGCGCTCCTGGAGCTGTTGATGGACATCCACGACACTCGTATCCCCCACAAATTCCATTGCCAGCACCCCTTACCCCCTCGCCCTCAAAACACCACTACCACTCACCAGCTTCTGCGTCGACTGGACGTCCCCGCGGGCGACGATGCTGTGGAAGAGCTGGGGCAGGAGCAGGTGGGCATGGATGGCCGTACCCAGCTCGAGGAAGCGTGCCGGGGTGGCCTGCTGCCTGCAGTGGCGGGCGGGAGGGTGAGAGAGCATGGCGGGGCGGCTTGCTCAAGCCACAGGCACTTCTCGAGGGGCCATCATGGCTCAGTGGCTTGGCAAGGGGTTGTACTGCGGCGCGGGATCCCCTCAGCTCCAAAAACGGCCCCAACCCCTCACACCTGGGGAAGTAGTACAGCAAAATGAGGGAGCTGAGCAACGCGCGCTGCTCCAGGACCCGCTCCCGGGCTGCCAGCGCTGCCAGCTCGCCCGCGCCGGGGGTGAGGGGGGGCAGCCCCTCCCCGCCCAGGCTGGAAAGCAGGGCCCGGCAGGCCTCGGTCTCCAGCACCACCGCGCGGGACTGCAGGAAGGTGTCGAGGTCTTCGGACCCGCCAGTCTCTGCGGTGGGAGGGGCCCAGGTGGAATTTTGTGGGGGCGGCTGTGGACAGCGTCAAAAGGCGTCACGTGCAATGCTGTGAGGCCCAGCTTAGTTGTCGGCACCCGAAGCGCCCAAGCGGCGGCAGGCGAGGGGGCTGTGTGAGCGCCTCGGGCGCTGGCACCCTGGAGCCCGAGTGCCTCGGCCCAGGCGACCAATGCAAACAGGCGACGGCACAGTGAAGCCGCCTGGGCCCCCACCGGGGCCTCACCTCCCGCCTCCAGGAGGTCCTGCACGATCTGCAGCAGCTGCAGGCGCTCGCTGTAGTACAGGGTGTGGACAGCGGTGCGCTGTGAGAGGGTGAGCCAGCGCTCCCCACGATCGCGGACCCAGTGCCGGGAGGAACGTGCCAGGATGATGTAGGCCTGCACCTCATCCAACACCTGAAAGAGGTGAAAAGGTGGTGAGGTGGTGAGAGCAAACGATCTGGGGAGCATGACCCAGATGCAGGGCCCCACCACCGTCGCACCAGATCGGCGCTGAGCTGGAGGACCGCCGATGCCACCTCGGAGACCGGTGGAAAGGTTCCACCATCCGGCAGCTTCAGAGGGGCGGTGCCCTGTATGAGAGCCTTGGAGGCGGCACTGGGCTGTCGGAAGTGGCCCACCCCTGCTGTCAGGTACTTCTCGTACTTCTGGAGGATCTGCAGCTGATCTTCTGCACTGCAAGTGCGCAGTTCATGGGACACCTGGGCGAAGGGAGGCCACCACAAGCTGCCTGCGTCGGCCATCGCCACCCCCCGGGACGGTACGGTGCACAGATCGCCAGCGGCTGATCGGCAGGAACGCTCATGAATTACGATCTAATTGCATTGCTGAATCGGTTGCGAATCGGTGCATGGAGCGATCAATTGGGCCCTGCGCATCCTCAGTACTGATTTGTGTCGCCCTCCAGGAAGAGATCTGTGTCCTGCAGGGGGCCCACGGCCACCATTCCCATAACTCTTTGCGCTCATGCGAGGACTTCTCACTCACAGAGCTCCTGCCTCCCACAGCTGCGTACAAGGAATCATCATCAGTACCTCAGATTACATTTAGTGCGCCTACCACCACCACTTAACATCAGCCGGCACCGACGCTTGCAAGGGGCAGGTACCACTCCGGCCCAAACCCCGCCTGCGCCCTGGCGGCATCGTTGAAGGGCGGCTTCAGCGGCCCACGGAAGTGGGCACGTATGAGCGCGTGGAACCAGGTCTCCACTGTCTCGTAGGCCCTGGCCTCCGTCACCCAGGCGGGGATGTGGGGCGGGGTGCCCCCAGCGGCTTCCGCCTGGGAGCCTGACGAGCCTGCGGGCGTACCGCCCCCGCCATCCCTGTCGGGCCAGGGCCATTCGCGGGCTGCCCACGCCTGCGCGTGCAGGTATCGCAGCCAGCGCACGCCGGCCGCGCAGTGCGTGATCTCCTCCACGAAAATCACGCTCTCCAGGAGCGTGGCGCTCGCTCTGTCGCCGTTGCTGCGGAAGCGGTGGATGGTCTGGGGCAGCACGTCGAGGCCCCTCGCCTCGTGCGTGCAGTGCTCCACCGCCAGCCGTGCCGGCAGGCTGCCGCCTGGTGTGGGGCGAGGGGCGCAGGGGGAGGGAGGCTGGGGCCGGTGGAGTCAGCATGCCCGGAGCCGACCGCAGCAGAGTGCAGCATGGGGTTCGCCGAGGGAAGCACATCCCAGCGCACCCAGCCCCGCTCACCGGTGGCGGACGCCGAGGTCCACAGGCCGTCGTGGCAGGGGAAGGCCCCGTAGTGGGACCCCGTGGCCTGCAGGCGTTGGTCCAGGAGGGAGTAGTGCCGGGCCTCGTCCCCAGCCACCTTGACAAAGTCGGCGAAGAAAGCGGGGGGCAGGCGGTAGTCTGGGTCAGGACCGAAGCGGGCGATGATGTCCCAGGCCAGGTCCACGGCCCAGTTCTCGATGTGGACGAGGGAGTGGAGGAGGGCCTGGCGGGAGGCCAGGCTGCCGCCCTTCCCGCGCTTCAGCTTCCATGGCTCTACGAGCTGGAGCTGAGAAAGGGGGGGGGGATTGGTGGAGGGAGGTGAGTCCTCAGTGCTCTTGGCTTGTCAGCAGGGATCAATGCTCTCCCTGCGCCTGCACTGCCGTCGTGCATCTTGAACATGGACATGGTCTGTGAGGGAGGGGTTGTCAGGGTCTGGACCCAGGGAGGCACCCTGCATGCATGCAGATCCCATGCACTCCAGCGGTGCAGCCCCACATGAAAGCAAGCTACCTTCTCATCGGCCCTCGCGGGTCGGTCTGGAACGTGTCCATGGTGCGATACTAGGTCGGTGCAGCCCAGTTCTCCTGCCTGCCAGGCAGCCAGGTACTCAGCACTGAGCCGTGCTTTGACTTCCGGCTCGGGCTCGCCTAGTACTCGCAGTGCGCACTGCACCACATTCAAAGTCATGTGAATATTGCCACAGACCAGGAGTCGAAGTGACTCAGATGTGAAGTGTGGCTCAAACTTATACCATCAGCGCGCGTTAACACATGTTGCCGCCATAAGTTCGTGCCCGGCTTCGACGCACCCCACATCAACGTGAAGGAGTAAGCATTGAACAATATTATTCCCTACACAATTCAATTTCCCTTGTAACTCGCAAAACGAGCCATCTAAAACTGTCAACGGCACCGGTAACCTCAACGCACAACCAGGAACTGAAGTTGCGTCCACCCTCCGGTCCCGTGTGGATCAGATACAGGGATGCTCTCCCGCCTCTCTTCCAGCGCGCTCCGTGCAGTAGGAAGCCGCACTGCGGTGCTCGCCTCCTCGCTACCTTCGACGAGCGCCCGGGCATACCATAAGAACGTGGGTGGTGTGATGCTGCCGCTGGGTTTTCGAGAGCCGCGGTCTGAACAGGGGAGGCTGCACTGCGAGCCCTTGACTTGCGAAGCTCTAAGATCCAATTCCCAATTATTATCTACTGCAGGTAGTGGACCACTACGAGCAGCCCCGCAACGTGGGCAGCTTCGACAAGAGCGACAAGAGCGGTAGTTGCGTCCACCCTCCGGACCCGTGTGGATCAGATACAGGGATGCTCTCCCGCCTCTCTTCCAGCGCGCTCCGTGCAGTAGGAAGCCGCACTGCGGTGCTCGCGGAGTCGCTACCTTCGACGAGCGCCCGGGCATACCATAAGAACGTGGGTGGTGTGATGCTTCCGCTGGGTTTTCGAGAGCCGCGGTCTGAACTGGGGAGGCTGCACTGCGAGCCCTTGACTTGCGAAGCTCTAAGATCCAATTCCCAATTATTATCTACTGCAGGTAGTGGACCACTACGAGCAGCCCCGCAACGTGGGCAGCTTCGACAAGAGCGACAAGAGCGTGGGCACCGGCCTGGTCGGCGCCCCCGCATGTGGGGATGTGATGAAGCTCCAGATTCGCGTCGACGAGGAGGGAAACATCGTTGACTCGTGCTTCAAGACGTTTGGCTGTGGGTCGGCCATTGCCAGCAGCAGCGTGGCCACAGAGTGGTGAGCCTGGTCTGTGGGAAGTGCGTTGCTGGATGAGGCTGCTGCCATGCCAGGTGCCTTGCCGTCCATGCTCCCTCACACACATTGCAGTCCACAATCTGCAACGAATTTGCCGCTGAGCTGCATCCCCTGCACACTCTCCACAGGGTGAAAGGCAAGGCGGTGGACGAGGTGCTGACCATCAAGAACAGCGACATTGCCAAGCACCTCAGCTTGCCACCCGTCAAGCTGCACTGCAGCATGTTGGCAGAGGACGCCATTAAGGCGGCAGTCAAGGACTGGCGGGCGAAGCAGGCCGCCAATGCGACAGAGACCCGGAGCCAGGTGGCAACGGCGTGATTTGTCACGCTGTTGAACAATAATGTGCCAGGAGGGGAGAGATAGACCCCACGACCCTCCAGTCAAAGAGACGTGCATGGAGGCCGACTTGTATTGCTCCCAGCAGCCACCCCGTGCACCAGCTACAGCCTGCCCCTTTTGACGGCTGTTGTATCATGTGGGGTGTTTCGTGAGACGTGTGTTCTCTGGTTGTGCTGATTTTGCTCGAGGGTGCTGAGAGTCCGGTCCACTGCGGCCAGCGATTTCCCCGCACACCCTCCATTCAGTGGAGATTCCCTCTCCTTTCTGACACCAGCTGCATGCCCTGGCACTGCCTGCCAACCTTTAAAGCCCTGCAGCGCCACAGTTGGGTATGCAGTGGGTGCAACATACTTGGGGGCAGGCGACCCGCGAGGTTCATCGATGGTTGGGGGAGATGTCGTTACGGGCGAGCGGGCCGCGACTCCGCCTCCTGGACCCCTCACTCCTGGCTCTCCTTGCCGTTCAGGCTGATGAGTGCCACGGCGCCCAGGGTCAACCCCGCACCCACCAGCTGCTGCAGAGTCAGGGTCTCCCCCAGGAAGATGAACCCCCCCGCCGCGGCAAACATGGGGGTCAGGAAGGTGAGGGAGGACAGGGAGGTGACGTTCCCCCGCGAGGCCAGCAGGTAGAAGACGCCGTAGCTGGCCGCGGAGCCGAGCAGCGTGACGTAGGCCAGCAGCAGCGCGTCGCTGGCTGCAGGAAAGGAAGGCGTCGAGAGGTTGGCAAAGAGATCACGAAGCGGCGTAGAACAGTGGTGGTTCAGCGGCGCTGGGCAGGGCCACCCGCCGGGACTGTGTGCTGTCTGGCGCGGGCTGCCCATCGAGGTGCCAGAACTGTCCATAATCAGCGATCAGGGGAGTGCCGGTACATGGCGGCACCTCCAGACCCTCTCGCAACGACACGCACACACCCTCCTGTCCCCCGCAAAAAGTCCTGACCCCCTCCCTCACGTGTCGCGGCGATCAGGCGAGCCGGCAGGTCGCCGCCCTCGCGTGCCAGCGCCAGTGCCGCCAGGGGCAGCCCACCCAGGATCATGTGCCAGCCGGTGGCCACCACGGGGTCGGCCTTGGAGGCCACCCACCGCATCATGATGGTGCCCACCGCCATGCTCTGTGCCGCCAGCAGCATGAGCGCCGGCCCCAGCGCGGCGTCGGCTGCGGCGGCGGCGTCCAGGGAGTCCCCGCCGCTCGAGGCCCAGAGTGAGGGCGGGATCTCCAGCAAGGCCAGGCCCAGTACGCCGAGCGGCAGCCCGGCGTACCCCAGCGCCGTCAGCCGCTCGCCGTATAGCAGCGCGGCCAACAGGGCCACCGTCAGTGGCTGGCTGTCGATCACCACGCTGCCCAGGCCCGCAGAGGTGTGCTGCAGGCCCTCGGCCAGGAAGCCCTGCAGCATGTTGAAAGATGGGATGGGTTGGGGTTGCCAGAGAAAGGGCAGCCGTGCTTGGGAGGCGGGCATCCGGTGCTCGGCCCCACCCACGCAACCTTGCGCGCCAGCCACCCACCCTTGCAACCCGCGCCGAGCCCAGAGGACAGCAAGCAACCTCGGGTGCAACAAGGAAAGCAATACATGCATCCCTCCACCACAGCATACAGCCGACCTGGAAGCAAGCGCCGTCCACCAGCGCAAAGAGGGCGATTGCGACCCAGGCCTCGCGGGTCGCGGGCTGGGGGCGTCGATCCCTGGCCGCCCAGAGGAGCAGTGCCACGCCGGCCGGGATGAGCCGCCAGGAGGCCAGGGCGAGCGGCGTGGTGTGGGGCGCCAGCTGCTTCATGGCCACCATGGAGGTGCCCCAGAAGAAGAAGGGGGACACCAGGAGGGGGAGGGAGGGCGTCGGGGCTGTGCGCAGGGGTAGGAGCCGTCGTCAGAGGGTCAGCTTCGCATGGTGTCTGGAGCGACAGCAGGGCGAGCGTCAACAAAGGGTACGAGGGCCATTACGCGGGCTACGCCGCAGCATCGCATGGCATGCCCCCCGATGTCGTTCATGTGGCCCTAGTAGTGTACCTGCATGGACGCGCTCGGTGGCCATTCCATTGAGAGCCGGCGAGTCCGGAATACTGTCGGTACTTTCTTGTACAGACTGGTCTAGATCGGGGAGTGCACTTGGAGGCCTTCCTCGCGACTTGTGAGCTGGTGGTGCGCTGGCAGCCCAGGTGCGGCCATGCAGTCCCACCAGGGGTCCCGTCCGGCTCGTAGGCAGGGTGCGAATCCCGTGAAGCGCACGGGACATGGGAGGGACGCTGCGGCCATGCAACAGCCTCCTAGAAACTTTTCGGAGACTGATGAGGGCTGGCAGGCCGTGGAGTGCCTTGACGACGCGAGAGTTGGCATGGTCGATGACCTGGGCCGATCATGGGCCACACAAGCAGGGTTTTAGCTAGAGGGGCCCGGTCCAGGACCGGCTGCACCTAAATCTACCATGACTGACAATGCCTCCTTTATCACAAGCACGAATGATGGTTTTGGACGGAGTTAGGCTGCCGCCATGCTTTCAGAAGCGTGCATTATGTGGATTTGAATCTGCTCCACGGCCGTGGCAGCCATGATGTCCTCAGGATGGATCATCTCGAGGGTGGAAGGAATATCCATTCGGCATGCGTGGCTTGCTGCAACTCGCCAAAAGCCCTGAAAGGCTTTCACGTTGAGATTAGACACCCGACGCCATATACCCCCCCCAATGAAACGGCCCTACCCGCTAACACAAGGTCACAGTCACCATAGTCGCCTCGTTCTACAGTATAGACAAACTCATCTTCGACCCGGCCAGTGTCCGGAGCGGTATGAAATACGTGTCAGAGCTCTGAGGTTTAATATTATACAGGTCACATCATTACCATGTCACGCACGTCATGGAGTTTCGAAAGACGGACAGACGGGTGGAAGACCTATCACGCTCTCCAAGTAGACCTTCCGAGGGGTCAATTGGTTCCAGGTACACAGAAGAAACCCATCAACAGCTTTCCCTGGCCCCGCGATGCTAGCATGACCTGTCCGTCACCCCCGACACTCGACCCGGAAAAGCTGCTTCGCCTGGAGCTGGAGGTCGTCAGCCTGCAGCAGACCCTCCAAGCAGCCCTGCTCGACCACCAAACCAGAGTGGCCACCATCCACCGCCTCCAGCAGGGGCTGCAGGAGGCTGAAGAGCGGGCTGAGGTGGGCATCGAGGTGTCTGCCAGTCTGTCGCCCGCCTCATGTCTGCATGGACTCCCGGCAAAACTTCGGCCTGTACTCTACCTCCCCTGGAATTTCCCCTCCTACACACACACAAGCACCAGCAGGTCTCGGATCGGCGCAGTCTGGAGCTTGCTGAGCAGGTGCTGGTCTCGGAGGAGCGCGCCTCGGCAGCCGCCCGGCAGCTGCAGGCCACCGAGGCCCAGCTGGCCTCCCAGCAGGAGAGCCTGCGCAGCGGGCGGCGGCGCGTGGCCGCCGCTGAGGCCCGTGTGACCGAGGTGTGCGTCCAGCTGGCCTCCTGCCAGCAGGGTCTCCGGGAAGCCGAGGCACGAGCTACCTCGGCCGAGGCTCGGGCGAGCGCGGCCGAGGCTCGGGCAAGCGCGGCCGAGGCCCGGGCAGATGCGGCCGAGGCACGTGCCGCCACAGCCTTGTGCGCCCCGGCCTCTGTTGCGCCCTGTGACGCATGGGCCCCCTGCGCCGCCTCGGACCGGCCCGCCTGCGATCCTATGTTAGACCCCAGCGCGGCACAGGTGGGCCACCTGCTCCGGCCGGAGTCGGGCGACCCAGGGAAAGAGCAGCGCGGGACCAGCACCTCCGAACCCCTGTCCTCCGGCACGACCGCGCCTGACCCTGACCTGAAGCGGGCCTTGGATCCAGAGCACGCCGCACCCGCGCTGCAGTCCCTGCTGGTCCAACCAGGGCAGCCCGACGTAGACCCAGGAGGGCACTGCAAGGTCCAATGGGCGCGGGCCCCCATCAGGGGCTGGCCGACGGAGGTGGTCGTCCCCGTGGGCGCGCCCACCGGGCCGCTGGGCGAGAGCCGGCGGGGTCCACCGCCAGGGTCCAGGCACACCGGCCCCGCTCCGAAGTACGGCCAGGACCCTGCCTTCAGGGAGGTGAAGGCAGCCTACGTCGCCGCACTGGCGAAGGCCCAGCCTCACGCCGACCGCTGGGCCGGCAGGGCACCGGACAGGGCCGAGGCAATGGTCGCAGACCCAAAGCGGGTCGAACCCGTGGTGGAGGTGAGCAACTGTGGTTTGCCGCTCAGAAGGGGGGGGGTGCCCTTGGCATTGGGACGGCAAGGGCATGAGGTCCGCACTGGACCTGGCCCAGGGTGGTATGGCGGCAGGTCTGTAGAGGGGTATGCTTGCTCCTGATATGTCACTCCCTGCAGCCCGGGAAACCCTCACCTCCCTGCATCCGCCAGTCTCTGTTGCCGGTGGCCGTCCACAGGGCCCCCCCCCACCCTCCTGCTCGATGCTTCTCCCTCTCGCTACTGCGCCGCACCCAAACTTGCCACCCATATCCCGCCTCCCCCTCGCTGCCAGGGCTTGGTGCAGCTCTGCGCGGAGGCCGGGGTGGACCTGCCCCTCGTCCGGCGGGGGCCCTGCCAGTACAGCCTGGGCGCCGCCCGGCTCAGCCTGCGCCTGGTCGGCGGGCAGCTGGTGAAGCGCTGCGGCGCCGGCCACCTTCCCCTGCTCGACTGGGTGGAGCGACAGGCTGTGCCGGCAGGGCGCGCCGGCCGGGTGGCACGATGACGGCGTGCTTGCCATGCGCTCGACGGAATGCGGGGAGGCATGCCATCGTCGGGCTGCAGCGCTGCATCACGGAGGTGGGGTGTGCTGCTGGCCAGAAGGGAACGCTCTGCTCCAGTGTGAATTCGACACGATGGAAGGGGCAAATAAGGGGAAGCAGCAGCCGAGTAGCCAGATCGAGGCACGGGGCTCTGAGCGTGGCAAGCACAGCGAGAGCCCGCTCCAGGGCAGGGCAAGCTCCAGACCACTGTGCGGGAGGATGGAAGCTTGAGCACGGCGCTCAGTAGCCCAGGGCGCTCAGCCGCTCCTCCAGCTGCTGCAGCGTCAGGTCGCCCTCCGACTTCTTGCCCCCAATCACCCAAGTGGGGAAGCCCTCCAGCCCCCCCGGCACCGCCGCGCACGCCGCGTCGGGCTCCATGCCCTGCAAGGACAGGAGGTGTGGAAAGCGTGTCGTCGAGTTGGCGGTGCCGCGTGCAAATCCCACCATCCCACGTCATTCGATGGCCGGCGGGAGGGGGTCCGCTGCTGCGGCAGTGGGAGTCCGGCCCCAAGGTGGCGGCCGAACCCCACACCCCGCCAAGGCTGTCGCGCACCGGGTGCCAGCCCGTGGGGTAGCACTCGACGTAGGGGAAGGCCGCCATGGCCTCCCTCCCAAACTCCAGCTTCTGCTCGTAGCAGTGGCTGCACCAGAAGGCGCCGTACATGCGGGCCCCCGCGGCTCGCAGCCGCTCCGCCAGCGACATCGCCTCCTGCGAGCTCTCCGTGGTGATCTCAGGGGCCTGTGAGGGAAAATGGGGCACGTGTGCCAGGGGTCGAGCACAGCGCGCGCAGCGCAGCCGTCGTCGTGCGGCGGCAGTCTGAGGGGGTTAGACTTCGCTTGCCGGGATGCGATGGCGGCTCCCAATGCACGCCGTCACCCGTTCTCACTGTCATCCAGACCCAACCGTGTCCGATCCCTCTGGGTCAAGCCTCGGCCGCTCCTCCTCTTCCTGGGCCCCCTGTCTTCCCCCCCCCTGCCTATTTGCTTCCATTCCCTACGTGGTAGTCGAGGGCGGTGATGACGGAGGCGTTGGGGCGCCCGATGCCCACGGCCAGCGCCAGCGATGTGAAGGCCACGATGCCGCCCGCAGCGCCGGCGGCCTCGGCCAGGTCCTCCGCCCGCAGCGCGCTGGCGGCCGCCGCAGCGATGCCGAAAGACAGCCCGGCGGAGGCCAGGCACCAGGAGCAGGACTCGCCGGGGAAGCGGGTGAGCAGGATGTAGAGGAGGTAGGCACTGGTGGTGGAGAGGGCTAGGGCGCCCCCCAGGAAGATCAGCTTGGTCGAGCGTGGGTCAGGGGCGGTGGGCGAAGCCCGCCGCGTCAGCTGCCACAGGGCGAGGCCGGCCACGGCCCCGTAGGACAAAGACCCTGTGGGCGTGGCGCAAGAAGGAGGGGGGGGTTGCAGGCAACGGCGACAAACAATTGGGAGGGTGAGGAGGCTGCCATCCTCATGCGCCATGGCTTCTGAAGAGGCATGCAGCACACAGCGGGTCGCGGCCCTCAAACGCGCAGCCGTGCATCCCCGTCCAGCCCTCGCGCCATTCCATGCACCCACCCGCCAGTGAGAGGGGGATGGTATGGAAGAGGGTGGACCACTCGCTGGTGAGGACGGTGGCGCAGCCACCCCCGATGGGGCAGGCCACGGGGGCATTGGTGTATCGGGCAATCGTCAGGTACGCGGTCTCCAGACACCCTGCCGTCGCCAGGCCGGCTATGAGGCGACATGGGACCTGGCAAAGGGATGAAATCAAGGGCCTCTAATGGCCGTCAGGTCTGCACGCCCCGTCGAAGGGCGGCAATGCCTGCAGAGGGCACGCGCTCCAGCGATCTGGCCCTAAGATCCCTCCGACACCCCCATGGGAAGTCACCTGGCGTCTTGAGGGCTCCGGCTGGGGGACACTGAGGGGTATCTCATCGCCGGTCTCATCGATTGACCCATTATTTGAGGATCTGCCACGGACATGTCTTGCATGAGCAGCGGATCTGCACCGCGGGGCTCCCAGGGTGGGGACCCCCAATGAAGGGGTCGCACTCCTCCATCCCTGTGTCGGGAGCATGTTGTCTGTTCTTTATCACCTCGACATTGTGTTTGTCGTGGTGGAGACCTCTCCGGGCTCTATATCACGAGGATGAACCATCACATGCTCACAAGGGCTGGCTTAGGTGTGCACGATTTGACCCGGGGTGGTGCCTTTTGCTACACCTCGCGTGTACGTAACCATTGAATTACGGTGGAGAACCCATGTGTCGCTGAGTCGACCTTCTCGACCACTTCTACACCTCCATACCTTTGTTTTGGGGGCGCGTCGAACGATTTCGAGCGGGCCAAACCCTCTCCTTGGATCCCCGGGTCTTCCCGGCCAAGTCCCTCCCGAACCTGTGCAGGCAGGCGCAGCTCCTGTTGTTCGCCCGAGATGCCCTCGGTGCATGGAAAATACTGATGTCCCGACCGGAGCTCGGGTTGAGACAGCCGCCGTCGCTTCCTCGGGGCCTCAGCGTCCGTCAGATGGCCCGATGGTGGTCGCGGATTTGAAGAGTGTGAGCGCGGGCTTCCTCAAGCCGGCGCTCAAAGACCTCATCTCCTGCGAGCTGAAGGGTTGGGGCAGCAGCATGTCGCCGCAGTCCATCCCAGCCGCGCTGGGGCCGTCGCCATCAGGGTCCACCCCCAGCGAGAGCGACCCCCCCAGCCCCCGGGACCTGCCTGGTATCCCCTCAGCGGACACGCACGCAGACTCGGGTCCCCCAAATGGCTCGGCAGCCGAGCCTGGGGTGCCCGACACCCTCGGGAAGCCCCCTGCAGCCCCTGCAGCCCCTGCCCTGGGCACCAGCGGCGAGGCAGAGCTGCTGGCACTGCTGCAGCGCCTGGCGGCCCTGGACTCCGAGGGCTGGTTCCAGGCCCCCGTCAGCGACATCCAGGCCCCAGGCTACTCCTCCATCATCCGGCACCCCATGTGCATCCAGGCCATGCGCGCCAAGGTGGCGGCGCACGCCTATACCTGTTGGGGCGACTTTGTGCGCGACTTTGAGCTGCTGTGCAGCAACGCCATGCGCTACAACCAGAAGCGCTCCCGCATCCACAAGCAGGTGGGGGTGAGGGTTGGGAGGATTGAGTGGTCTGGTCGTATGGTGTGGGGCTCGGGTGTGGATCAGTGCGGTTTGGCGTCTGCCAGATCCCTATATCCACTGTGCTTGTTGCCGATCATCATCCCAGGGACGCATAGGTGCAGGGCACGCCAGCATTGGTCTTGATGCCGAGCACCTCCTCGCTGGTTCACACCTGTCCTCTGCAGGCCCTGATCATGCTGCGGGCGGGCAAGAAGCTCCTGATGGAGGTAGAGCTGGACGGACGGCGCGCCATCGCGGCCATGGCCCGGGCCCCCGGCCCGGTCTGCGGCGCGGGGCTGCCGCCTGCCACACCGGCGCTGACCCCCTTGCTCCTAGGTGGGCGGGCTGGGAAGTGGGTAGAGTGCGGCTCTCCCCTTGCCCAGTGTACTTGAACCATGTGCACATGTAGGTGTGTGGCTTTCCAGCCAACGAGGCAAGCCAGCACTCTAGCCGACCGCCTCCACCACCTGCAGGCACCCCGCAGCACAGCAGCCTGAGCCTGGACCTGGCCTCACCCCTGAGCCTGGACCTGGGCCTGATGCCCAGGGGCTTGCTTCCCGCTGTTTTGGAGGGAAGCTTCCCGGCCCTGCTCCCGCTGCCCCACCCCTCGCCCACGCTGAGCGACTACGAGGCAACTGACCTGGAGGACGAGGGCCTGCCTCGACAGGGGCTCGGGGCGGTGCAAGCGGCGGAGGGCCCCGGGGTCGCGGCGATCGCGAATCCGGGAGGGGCCGCAGGGCCTGCACCATTCGCGCCCGCGGCGACGTTCCTGCCCTGGTCGGAGGAGGGCGGCACCGGCAGCGCTGACGACGACGCTCGCGCCGGCCCCGGCGGCGCGCAGGAGCCCTGGCGCAGCGCGCGGCGCGGCGCCGAGTGGCGCGCACGCTGGCTGGAGCTGCGCCTGCGGGAGCTGCGCGGCCAGGCAGCGCGGTACCGCGGCCTGCTGCGCCGCGCGGGGCCCGAGGCTCTGGGGCGCCGGGTGGTGCCGCGGGGCGGCGCGGCTGCGTCGGATCTCATGCCCCAGGGCCACCCTTTTTTCCTTGCGCACTGCGCCGCGGTGAACGCGCGGGGGCCGGGGGCGGTGGGGCGGGGCGATGCCTCGGAGGGGCGGGGTGATGCCTCGTTGGGGCACGACCCAGCCTTGGAGACGCACGACCCGGCCCCAGCGTCGCATGAAGCATCTGCCGCAGCCCCCTCCTCATCGCCCGACGTGGCCGTGGCCTCGTCGGCCGACCCAGCGTCGGCCGACTACCCGGCCCGCGCCTACGCCGCGCTGGAGCTGCTGGAGCTGCGCGTGGCGGCCCTGCGCGAGTCGCTTGGCGGCGCGCCGCGCGACCCCGGCGGCGCAGGGTCGCCCGCCGACGGCGCCGGCGCCGACGGTGCGCCAGGAAGTAGAGGTAGGGGACGCGGGAGAACATCTCGAACAGGAAGATGGGGAGGAAGGTGATAGGGTTGTACTTGCTGGTCACCACACGGTTGGAGGGCGTCTTGCCATCCACCGTGGTCCCGCCCTGGGGGTCAAAGTGGATCACACGCAGCTGTTGGGCCGCCGCGCCGTTCCTGCTGTCGCCCTTGGTGACCTTTGGGGGAGAGCACAGGGGGAAAGGGGTGGGTTCTGCGCGCCATGCCTCGTGTGCATAGCTTCATGGTGCATTGCAGCTGTGGGGGCATTGCCCAGCGCGCTTGGCACAGGGGCAACTCAAAACCCACACTGTCAGACGGCTGGCAAGGGCCACCGTCCTGACCAGGGCAGGGCTCCTGGATCCCAGGGCTCCTTTGCAATCCATGCCCCGACACGCCTCCACACCGCCCCACCTTGGGGGTGTCAGTGCGTTCCAGATTGCTCTGCAGCTCCGCACGCAGGGCTGCTTGTTTCCGAGGGTCCACCGAGGAGCGCAGCCGGGCGACTGCAGAGGAGGTCACCCTCGTCAGCTGACGGGGCATCATCTTGTTCAGCACAGCCCCAGGACTGAACTTGTTCCTGGAGCTGCTGCTCGAGAGCTCCGCCGGGCCAGAGGTCTCCCCGCTGGGGGCCTCGCTGGCCACCTCGGCATCCTCTGGAATGGCGACTGTCAAGCCATCGTTACGCGGTTTAGGCATCCTACAAGGCCCTGCTCATGTCAGATCTGGGCGATGGTGGAGGTGATCGCGAGGTCGACTGGCCCGTGGACCCAACTCAAACACCACGACGCCACTCGACGCAGTCAAGGGCTGCCCACTCGACAACCACGTATGTCTGCACCCAGCGATAATTGCATTCCGTCCCGTGCCTGCTCGGAGGCTGTGCTGATCGAGGTCGAGGTGTCCCTCTCAGGGCACCCATGACGTTGGTTTGTCGTCAACACGAGATTCTAGTTCGATCGCCCGGTCCACGCGCCTTAAATTGTTTGCCTGATCGAGGTGCAATTCTGAGCACACTGTACCTTCATATTGACAACAATCGATTATAAACCATCCATCAAAGTCCAACTGCGTGCATGCGTTTGTAGTGGGAGCATGACGGTGGCCGCTGGGCCCAGCGAGGCTGTCCCCGCTCCCCCCGCAGACGCTGCACCCACCACGCCCACCAGTCATGTGGAGATTATCCCCCTGGGAGCAGCGCAGGAGGTGGGGCGTTCCTGCGTCATCGTGCGCTTCGCGGGGAAGACGGTGATGCTGGACTGCGGGGTGCACCCCGGCTTCTCCGGCCTGGCCTCCCTCCCCTTCTTCGACGTCATAGACATGTCCAGCGTGGACGTGATGCTGGTGACCCACTTCCACCTGGACCACTCCGCGGCCGTGCCTTACGTGGTCGGGCACACCAACTTCCGGGGCACCATCCTCATGACGCATGCCACCAAAGCCATCACCAGCACCCTGCTCCGAGATTTTGTAAAAGTCAGCAAGGGAGGCGCAGGCGAGTCAGGGGTACAGGGATCCAGGGGCTTGGGAGGGTTTGGGAGGGGAGGTGGAGGGGGCAGGGCGAGGCCTGGCGGGCGAAGCCGGTGAACTCCACTTCGTGGAGGCAGTGTGGGTCGGCCTGGATGCTAGGACCCCGCTGGCGATACTCGCTGTGCGCCATGAAATTGAGTCACCCAACCAGCCTGTAGGGATAGAGTCCGCGTCGGATCTTCTGTCACCCTTTCCCTCCCATCAACAACCCCTCCCCCGCCACGGCGGCCATGGCCATGGCCGCGGCGGCGCAGCACGCCATGGCCGCACGCGCCGCGGCGGGCGACGCGCCCCCTCCCGTGGGCGGCGCTTCGGCCGCGCCCCTGCCCCCGGCGCTCCAGGCCATCGTGCCGCCGGCGACGGCGGCCGGCGCCCAGCCGGCCGCGCCCCTGCCGCCCGCGACCTCTCTGCCAGGGACAAAGGCGGTGCGTGGGCGGGGCAGGCCGCGCGGGTCGGGGCGGGGCCGCCGCGGCGGGGCCGGCGCATGAAGAGACGCGCTCGCAGGCACGCCTCGGTCGAGGCCTTCCTTGCTTGAGACGATGGTGGTCGACCCCTGAGCGCCTGCCTGAATGGGACGCCCATGTCCACCCCACCCCATCATCCCCACCCCTTCCCCTGGAAGAGGGGGGGGCCCCCAGTGGTCTGCTGCCCCCTCCTCCTTTGTGACCTCCCTGACTGATCCCACCTGTTGCCATATTTTTGGTTTCCGACGCCTCGCCCCAGCCATGGGGCCCCAGCGCGCACTCACACCACCCCTCCCCCTCAGGGGAGGACGCCATGCTCGACGAATGACTCCTCCCCCTCCCGCTGCTGCGCACCCTTAGAAAGCGTGGCGGGTCGCCGGGCCCGCTCTGTATCAGGGTCCTCTGTACTTGCCGGGCCCTGCGCTCCCCGACCGCCATGCCCCACCTTGCCCCTGCCCACCCCGCCCTGTAAATGCCTGGAGTGGGCACCCTAGCAGTGCTGGGTATGGACAGGCCGGGGATAAGTTCGGTGATGTTCAGGGGATGGCACTGCAGTGGCTGGCTCC